GTTTATCATATATAATCTTTACAACGTTGAGATAAGTTCCTTCTATTTCATGCTTTTATGATTATGTCACAGTGTTATATATAACTAAAAAGAATCAGTAAAAATAAAATGTTTTGAATTAATAATAATAAAAAGAATACAAGGGGCAATGTTGATTTGAGGGCAAGAGAAATACCAAAGTCTGAATTTGAATCAAATGGGTAAAATAACTTGTGGGCATTGTAAAAGATGACAATCTTAACTATTTAACACCTACTGTGTCCAGGTATAGCACCACACACTTTATATTTATTATGTCTAATTCATACAACAACCCTGAGCAGTTGGTGTCTTTGACTCAATTTTATAGTTGAGGAAACAGCAACAAAAAGAGAAGTTGCTCACTAAGGTTTGATAGATAGTAAGTGGTAGAGTCCAAATCTGGAATCTCTTATGTTTGACCCCAGTGTCCTGCCCATTCATTTACTGTAGACCAATCCAGAGTTTCTGGTTGGGAATATAGTAGCTTGTAAGGAAGTGAAGGCAGAAGATATATGAGGGAGCTGAGCATATGTCAGAGCTGGTGGAGAAGGTTGGGAATAGCCAAGTAGAAGAGAGCAACTGGGATGAGTTGGATATAAGGTATCCCCAGAAAAGTTCATGTGTTAGGCAATGCCAAAATGTTCAGAGGTAAAATGATTAGATTACTGGAGCCATAACCTCATCAGTGGATTAATCCATTTGATACATTAATAATTTGAAAGGACTATTGGGTGGCAACAGTAGGCAGGTTGGACGTGGCTGGAGGAAGTAGAGCATGGGGGTGGGGTGTCATGTCCTTGGGGATTATATCTGTCTTTTCCTTTCTCTGTGTCTTTTTCTCTCTTTCCCGGCATGTGCCAAGCAGCTTTCCTCTTCCATGCCCTTCCACACTCTTCTGCTTCAACTCAGGCCTAGAGCAATGCAGTTGGCCAACAGCTGATGTAGTCTCTTATGTAAATTGATAATAGAGGCACAAAACTGGTACTTATTCTAGTTCATGAGAAGCTCAAAAAAATTTTGTTATCATGAAATAATTACTTTTTCAAGGCAAGAAGATAAAAGTAATTTGGTATGTGCATAATTGTCCTATATTCAAAATTTGAATACAAAGAAATTTCCAAAATCAAATATAGAATATTTTTGGCTCTCATACCACTTTGATTTGTTTGTATTCATATTATACAATTAGAATTAAAATCAAAAGTTGATTTTAAGAGGATTTTCGCAGGCTGTATTAAATGTAATTATTTTTTCTGCCTGTCCCTGTTTTCTGATTGTTCCTACAATGAACATAGATTAGTAAACAAATTAAAGAAGATAATTACTGATAAACAGGTGCAGTCAATTTTTGAATTCTGAATAAGACCGATTCATTTCCAAATATGTTGATGGTAGATTAGACCAAGTTTTAAGATAAAGATGACAATTTAAATTCTATTTTGATGTGAGGTCAGCTCACAAAGACCTCTATAACTTTCGTTTAGTTGAGCTTTAGCACTGATAAGAGAAACTGAAATTTACTATCTTCTTTTCTCCTTTTATGTCATTTCTGAGACAGGAGAAGGAAGGATTTCCTTATGTCTTCTTGAACTTCTTAAAAACAGCTTTACTGAACATTAATTAACATATACTGAGTTGCACAAGTTTAATATTCACAATTTAACAAATTTTGATTTATCTTATGAAGTTCTAACCAAGAAAACTTGAATTAAATCAAAGCCCTCATAATTTCCTATTTTCTTATACTGTTACCTATACTAAGAGCATTGCAAAATATGCTAGAGTGTGTGTAAAATAGGTATGTGGAGACTAGTCTCCAAAAAAGTAACATTATTGGTGATCTTGTTACATAAGAAAAAATATACTAAGTTCTGAATAATCAACTTACAGAACTATTTTTAGCACATCTTATTTGTGAAATGAAGACTAAATATCAGCCGTTTACCTATATGGACAATGATTCATATACATTGGGTCTTTCCACTTATTCTGAATATTGTTTATATTGTCATATATCTTCCTACATCCAACTCCCATAAAGCCAAGTTACCTAATGTACAAAAGCCACTTGTTACAAGTGGGACTGTTGGAGATGATGTGGCTTGGTAGAAAGTGCCTAAGTGCCCCATTTCGTATCCAATGAGATTGGATGGGAGCTCATGTCTGAGTGGCAGACATAAACTTAAAGCTGAGATTTCTCTTCTCTGCTCAATCCTTTTTTCCTTTGAGTTTCACTGTCTTTCTACTATACCTCCCTGCTGCTACATTCTGCCTGGAGGCCTCCTCTTCTTTTCGAACCCCAATATAAAACTGCACCTAACAGTGAATTTTTCTAGGTAGAGCTACAGTAGGGCTTTCCTCTTTGAAGTCTACTCTGCATTATCTCTATTGAGAGGAGGATTACAAAATTTAAACTAAGAAATATATGGGAGTAGATAGTCACTGGATCACTGCACGTACACATGTCTATTCTATGGGCCCATTTTTGCTTTTACAGAGAAGAATTGTCAACCACTTTCTTTTATATTAAGCTTTAAATATTTTAAACCTTTACGTCTTTTCACTCTAAGACACAGTGTTTCTTAAAACAGAAATACAAGGATGTCTAAAAATTGATTCTATAGATAATTTTTAAGCAAGAGAATTGATAACTCAGGTTGGTACTGTTGAAATATGATGGCCCCCTTTTCCATAAAAGATAAACTTCATGTGTAAGCAACACAAACAACCTTATCATTTTACAGTGATTGTTAAAATTCCTGTCATTTCAATCCCATTGTAATACAATATGAGTGACTGTGGTCATTATTATGTTGACAGACTTAACTTTATTCTCAGTCAATATTAAAGGAAATTGTATGATTAGAATTGATGCATTTGGTAGTTGGACACTTTATTGTGGATTTATGTGTCCTTTTCATTTCAGTAAGATTTCAGTGAAAGCAGACGAGGGTTGAAATTGTCAAATCATGTATTACGTATTCTGTGTACCTATTTCCACATTCGATTTTTGTAGCAACCTTGTGAGCTATGCAACCATTCTTTTAAATTTACAGATTAGTAAATGGATGCTCAGGGATTTAGATAATTTGCTTAATAGCACATAGTGAGATTTTGAGCTTTGCTCAGACCTAGGTCTGGCTTGGCACTCTTTACTTTGCAGAGTGATTTCTTAGTGCAAAGGGCCCCAGCATGGCCATATAAAGATGTGGACTTTATTTTTAGATACATCATAGCATTGTTATCTGGCTAAAGCTCCTTGCTTCATTCACATTGTCTCTGTAAATGGAGTTAAACTCCACTGAGAGGAAAACCCCTTTGAATTAAAATTGTTCTCCTTACATTCATAAAGCATAATGCTTGAGTTTCAAGTTAGTATTTCTTTCCCATTTCATGGTCCCTGATCTCTTTTTGCTGTTCTGTTCTCACTTTTACTGGTAGGACTGAAACATTTGATAAGTTTCACTGTTTTGCTGTTCAATAAGGAATGTGGAGAAATCTGTTTTGTTCTTTTAGCATCAGACTCATTTGCTACCACATATCAACAAGGTAGAAATGAATGAAAGAACTTATGAGGAAAGGACTAAAAGTAGAGTCAAAGGCCTGGTACTGTAAAAGGGCATGAGGTTCCCATTTAATTTATTTGACTTCAACAATTTACATCAGCAAAGGGAAAAAATGAGAAAAAGAGAATGTAATAATTTAAATGACTGTGGATGGAGACAGTATTCCCCAGAGGGAAAGTGAATCTCCTCCTCCTTCTGCTGGCCACACTTCCTGTTACCTTTAATGGTGTGAGCATCTCAGCATCAGGAGAGTGATTTGGGGTTTGCAGATACAACGTGGTGTCTAACTGCCAACCAAATACACCACCTATTTATCTGCCAAGAAAACAGTGGTTGATTCTAGTCCTGGGAGAGATGACTCGCAGCAGCACCAACATCCAAGACAACACCAGCAACTGAATGTGTTGGACTAGGTAGGACACAGTATATATGTGGATTAAGTTTTATGTAATAGATGATATCAAATAAATTTGCAGTGGTAATTTTAATTATTTATGATTTTTTCCATTCATGCTAACTTAAAAACCTAAACCCTTCTAAACTGAAATGTAGTTTCATTATTCCAATTTTTATAGGACTTTGGACAAATCACTTCAAATCTCTGAGCTACACCTTCTTTATCTGAAATTGTCACAGTTAGCAATAATGCTACTTTTCTATTTCAGGGTTATGTGAATGTCTAAAATGATAAATTTATGTAAGCAGTTTTAAAGTGCTTAAATATACGTTTACATAAAACAATTTTTAAAATAAGGTAAAACAAAGATATCCTTTAAACCTAATCTCATGATGAGTTAAAAGTTTATCTTGAACAAATTTTTACAAACCTTTTTAATCCTTGTTTATAAGTTTAGTCACATGTGTGCACATCTATATATGCACAATTTATATATATGCATATGCACTTGAAGAAAAGATTAAAATGACTTTAAAGACAGACTGATTAAAGTTTGGGTTAATTTGATTTTGCCTGATTAAGTTGATTTGTCCCCTTTACAAGTTACCATCAGAATTCTTATTAGGCAGCTCCTCTGTATGTGAGTGTACAGATAGTCAAGAGCACTCACAAGTGTAACTGCAAGTTTGCTCTAAGTACATAGTCCTGAAATCTTAGTATGCTACCTTTTTTTTTCTTCATAAACAATACAAAGAAGTTGACAGGTCTGAAAGGGGCTTATGTGAAAAGATAATTAAGAGCTTTAGAGAGTGTCAAGAGTCAATAGCTCAGCACTGTCAGCACTCCAGAGTGTTACAGGCTATAATTAGATGGCATGGAGGTGTAAGGCATGCTTGGCAGTTGATTCCTGCGTGATCTCCAAGGGAAAAACAAAGAGCAGCCTCCATGAGATATCAGGCAAAGTGGGGAACAGATGTGCTGGAGTCAATCCTCAAAGGTCTGCTTTATTTTCCCAGGTTCCATCATTTGGTGAAGAGCTTCTTTGCCTTTTGACCGGCATTCACATGGGCCATTTGGTCTGTGTTCATCATTCGGACAATCTTCTGGGCTTTGGGGAGCACACTTCTCTTCAACTCTATGAACAAGAGGGCATTTCTTCATTCTCTGTGGGTGCACTTGCCTGTGTTCCTATATTGAATTTGGACTCCAGAAAGTTCAAACTGATATAAAGCAGACCTAGTTGATCATGGATAAGAGAATGTTTTAGTAAAGATCTGTGCAAAGTTCAAAAGACTGTCTTCCTAAATGGAGGGGAAAGAACAAAAGGCATATACAGAACTGGAGTTAAATACAATAAACATTGAAAAGATTGTGGGGAACAACTAATTGTGTGAGGTTAAAATTTAAAAATAATTGTTAATAATAAAATGTGTACAAAAAAGTCCAACAGTGTTCTGAATATAAATATACATATATAAAATATATATTCTGAATATATATATATATATATATATATATATATTATATATATATATGCATTATTTCAGAAACACACACATGTGTGTGTAATACTCATACAGATTTTTTTTACGGATGTTTGTGCTTTGGTGCTTTTATTTGGCTCATGCTTTTAGCATATTCAGTCTGTTAATTTTCTCTTTCAGCTTTGGTATATGTTTTTCAGTTGAGCAAAAAATATACCTTGATTTTATTGGCAAAACTCCACTTCCATAGATTACAAAGCATTGTCCATATTATTGAACTAAATTGCAAATTTTTAGGCAATTTTTTTTCTGGTAAAAAAATGACCATAAATATTCCCTATTATACAGAACCTTTAATTTAAAAACAAAATTTAATAGGAAAAAGTTAAAATGTAATCAATAATAAAATGTGTGAATATAATGACATAAATTGAGTAAATGCAAAGTTAGAGAACACGTGAGATAAAGTTGGCTTGAAATAAACCTGTACACCCTTAAAACATAACTATTTTTAAAATGATTGAAAATGTATTTCTTGCCTCCAAGAAATATGACTGTGATCAAAGAATAATCCCACACAGACCTGCTAATTTTTAACATTTCCTTCACATCTTTTTAGAATAAGAAGTTATAAAATATTACAGATGAAGCTGAAGTCCTCATCAGTCTCATTCCCTTCTCATTCCAAAGGCAATTACTTTCATAAATTTTAAATAATTTACATACATTAATCTGGAATGTGAGCTGGCTCAGCAAGATGAATTACTTTAGGCCAAGACTTTCTAACCCCCTTCTGGAGAAAGACCCTAGAAGCCATCTCTTTCTCCTTTATCCTGGACAGCAAGCTAGCTCAGGCCCTCATTATATCTTAAAAGGCTGTTATATTACACACTGAATTGTATTCTTAACCTATAGGCCCACAAAACTTTCCCTCCTCAATCTATTTTCTATGCTGTTCCCACACTAATTCCTCTTTTCTTTTCCTTAGACGTCATCATGCCATTACAAATGTTCTGTAATGCTTCCTTTTCGCCCACCAGTTTCCATAAGTAAAGACTAGTCTTTAATATGGAAACCGAGGGCCTCCACAATCCAGTCCCAACCAACTTTACAGGCTCATCATCATTAATTTTTACTTCTATAATTAGCATCCTCCCTGGACACTCACTAGGTCTCAACCAGGTCTTATTCTTTCACAGTTCCTTGACTTTGATATAACTAATGTTGAAAATCTTTGTATGGTACTATCTTGATGAAATCTTACAAGATAACAGTCTATATTTTCTTTACTTAAACCCTCTTAACACTTTCTAGATACTTTCATGATCCATATGCTATTTAACCCATAATAATTGTCATTGATGTAAGTACTTTTCAAATTCTAAACCTCTTCAAGTCAAGGAAAATATATCTCATTCCCTGTTGGATCCTGCTAGCTTACTAACATAAATGCAGTAGGCACTTATAAGAGTGAAAGAAAGAACTCTTATGACTTATTAATCTATCTGCCTCTTGCACTTAGGATAGCACTTGATGACAATTTTTTGTTGCTGTTGTTTGGGTGCCAGGAATTGAATCCAGGGGTGCTTAACCATTAAGCCACATCCCCAGCCTTTTAAATTTTATTTATTTATTTTATTTTGAGACAGGGTCTCACCAAATTGCTAAGGGCCCTGCTAAATTGCTGAGGCTGGCCTTGAACTTGCCATCCTCCTGCCTCAGCTTCCCAAGTGGCTACAATTACAAGGGTGCACCACTGCACCTGGCAATATTTTTTAATATATCAGAGATTGGGAAACTATGATCTATGCACAAAATCCAGCTCAACATCTGTTTATACAAATAAAGATTTATTAGAACACAGCCACACATTCCTTTACATATTGCTATGGATGCCTTCTGCACAACAGTAGATTTATATTTTTGCAATAGATACCATAGTGTCCAAAAGATTAAATATTTATTATCTAGTCCTTTACAGAAAAAGTTTTCTGACTGAATGAAACTGTACTGTGTAGTAGGGTGATAAAAGATCATAGAGCAGAACAAAATGTTTCTAAAATATCAAATTAAATTATCATTCAGATTTGTCATTTCAGGAAATTGTCCTGTCATCATTTCTTCATTTCTATCCATACATAGATGTAAACATATGCATCATATGCATTTATTGCTGGTTTTCTTATTATTTGATTACTTGATCATGAGTGATAAGCAGTGATCAGTTCAAAATAGCTTGGATTTATATTTGGGATAAGTATCCATCTATATATATATATATCTATGTGTATGTGTATATACATATAGACATATACTCACATGCAATCATATTTATATAACATATACACTTATTAATTGTAGCTCTCTTTTTGGAAAATGCTCATAAACACAAAAACCATGATCACTCCCTAAAAATACAATTCAATGTTTTAAAAATTATATGAGTAGATTTATCTGATTGATTTTAAGAATTCAGTCAAAGGGCTGGGGTTGTGGCTCAGCAGTAGAGTGCTTGCCTAGTATGTGAAAGGCCCTGGGTTCCATCCTCAGCATTGCATAAAAATAAATTAATAAAATAAAGGTATTGTGTCCAATTAAAACTAAAAAATAAATATTAAAAAAGGAATTCAATCAAAAAATTTCAAGTTTGCATACATATATTCATTACTGGCTGAACATTCAAGAGTGACCTGCATATAATTGCAAGGTAACAATATTATAATTCCATTAGAAATAGTGGTACTTATTATATGCTAACTTCTGTTTATCCCAAAACTCCATCACCCGATGAATATGCAATTAACCTACTTATTACTACAGAAAACATCTCCTTAGACATACAATACATCCACATAATTTTTAATCTGATCTTCAAAGGCTTTCTGTGGGAGAAAATAATTTTTCCCAATAAGATATATTATTGGAAACACAACTCTATGTAGCCAATTCGCTACATCATCTGATTTATTTTAATTAGAGGTTAGCTGCTGAATGTGATTACAGTTATAATTATTACAATACCAGTCATCCACATTTCCATTAGCATTCCACTTGATAGTTAGCAATAAGCAGAAATAAAATATTAGGACTTTTAAGAGAAGAGATTACCAATTAGTACAATTCTCCACTGGCACAAGATAATTATTAATTATGATCATCATGGTAATTATTCACCAAGCTGAATTTCACTGGGCTACCTGTGTGCAGATTCCCTCTGCACTGCATTCTAACACCAGCAGCCTTCGTATCTTCTCTGGAAATCCTGAAGCAATATTTGTATTAAATACACAGTTGACTGCACACCAAATGGAAAAGCAGCTGCAAAGGTGCAGGACGGATCTCCATTTCATTAAAGGATCCCTTCTCTTTGTAGGATAAAGCAAGAGAAGTAAGTGAAAACACATACCTTAGGAAAAGTACCACTGGTCACATACATGTTTTCTGATCACACACAATAAAACTGACCCCAAACTAGTCTTCTCAGTGCTCCTTCATTCTCCTGAAGCTGCCATTCATATCCACTCCAACAATTTATTGTTAAAGGGAAAAAAAAAACAAATAAAATTGAGGATTATTGATCACTAAAAAAAATAATATTATACAAATGAGTTAAAAATAACTATAGGCATTATGAATTTCAACCACCATCAGTATCATCATTGTGCTCTAAAATATAAAGCCATTATTTAGCAATATATACATTCTTCCACATAAGTCCCTTTATATAAAACCACCATATTTTGCTCCAGGTTTTCTATCTGAGTATAAGAAATTTTGGAAGGCTCAAAGGAAATAAATACCAAATGAGACTCCAGAAGAAAGATGATTTTCTCCAGTGGACAGCGCTAGATCGGGAAACACAAGAGTCAACACTAGTCTTGCATTTTTTGGTTACTTTCTTGAGGAAAGTTATTGAGCTTCTCAAGTGCACAGGTTCTTTATTTGACTTGGGACAACATCTCTTCTGCCTTACTTGGGAGGCTGTTACTGGAGACAGATCAGATTGTAGATGAAATAAGTTGTATAAGATATAAAGTGTTGTTCAAATGTAAGGCAGCATTTAATAATTCAAAGGAAACACATTTAAATTAAGCTATCGAGTATTTTTCTTTTAATATTTTTTTAGTTGTCAATGGACCTTTATTTTTTTTCTTGATATGTGGTGCTGAGAATCGAACCCAGTGACTCACACATGCTAGGCAAGCACTCTGCCACTGAGCCACAACCTCAGGCCATATTGAGTGTTTCTTTAAAAAATAACTTAAAAAAATAACTTGACAATGTTATCCAGTACCAAGTGTATAGTTTTACTCAGTTGTCAGAAAGGAAAAGCCTGGAATTGCCAAAAATGGAATTCAGGTAAAATATTAAAGTTTCTACAATCCGTGGATTAGGGAACATTGATATAAAGTATAAAGCAAAGCTTCGTTGTCTCATTCTTTTTTTTTTTTTTAGTATATTTAAAGGAATGGTAGATAGTTGATGTTTTAGGAAGGCAAGATAGGCCTCATTTACCACCAAGATACATATCCTTGTAGTGATTGTCTTTGTAGGGACTGAACCAATCAACATATTGCCAATTATAAATAGGGGGAAATAAAGTAAATTCCAAATGACTTTTTTTCATTGCTGTTCATGTTTGCTGCCAGTGTTTGCCTCCATGCTTGAAAACATGAACAAAGATTTGTCATTTGGAAGAGCTTTATTTCTCATGTTTAAATAGCTGCTGCTCTGATGGGAACCAAGAAGAGCTGGAGGCAGCCACTATGCACTAAGGAGAGGGACACATTTGCCCAACAAAACAAAAAATGTTCAGGAGTAAAATGAAAGCAGTTTGCAACTTAGCTTTTGTTATTGTTTTTACCTAAATTCCTTGATTTGGATGACAAAGACAGATATAATTCAAATTGTCTTTGAGCATTCATCATTTTATGTGTTTGGA